TACAGTTTTAAAAGGCTAAACTTTGGGCAGCCCCGGTGGCTCAGCAGTTTAGCACTGCCTTCAGCCCAGGGCCTGATCCTGGAGACCTGGGATCGAGTCCCACGTGGGCTCCCTGCATGGAGCCTATTTCTCCCTCTGCCTGAGTCTCTGCCTCTCTTTCTCTCTCTGTGTCTCTCATGAATAAATAAATAAAATCTTTGAAAAAATAAAATAAAATAAAAGGCTAAACTCAGGAGTCACTTGGGTTGCTCAGTCCCTTAAGCAGCTGACTCTTGATCTCAGCTCAGGCTAGATCTCAAGGTCATGAGTTCAAACCCTGCATTGGGCTCCATGCTGGGCTTGGAGCTAAATAAATAAATAAATAAATAAATAAATAAATAAATAAATATTTTTAAAAAATAAAATAAAAGGCCAAACTCATTTTGTATACCAATTTTCCTAGAATAAACTCAGCCTTGTGTAGGAATAGTAGGATGTGTTCTTATCCATTCAGTACATTTTAATATGAAAAACATTATTGTTTTTATTTATTATTTATAGAGAGCAAGAGAACAACGTGACAGTGTTCAATGCAAATATAACAGGCATGGCCTCTGCCTCTGGGGAAAGGCAGTCGAAGACAAATGTGAACACAATTACCCTCAACCCCAAACCCGGTGAACTCTCCCTCTTGCCATTCCGAAGTAGAACATGACCAGGATAAAGAAGACTGTCGCTGCTAAGGTCTGATCCCGTTCAATGTCAGTGATGTGACCACTGAATTGTTTGTTCAAAATACAAAAGGATGAGCCCTTAACCCAAGGTTAATAAAGAAAGAAAGCACTGATACGTGTACTGTTCATCCTTATACTAAGTCCTTTTCACTGAAAATAGGAAGCAGTTAGTTAACTAATAAATGAAGGAAAACCAAAGTTCTCTACATTCAGAGATGAAACTAAACTAAATATCTCTAACTCAATAATGGAATATTTCTAGAAAGCTTTTTACTCCAGGATCTAGCTTCTAACACTCTACCTACAGCATAACAGGTGCTTAAGAAATACTCATTTTTATTTCTGCAAACTACCTTTATCCATTTTAAAATATCCTTCTTGTTTCTACTTCAGAGATGAACTAATAATCCAGAGACCTGAGCTAATTGTTTAAAATCAGGGACACCTGGGTAGCTCAGTCAGTTAAGCAGACGACTCTTGATTTCAGCTCAGGTCATGATCTCAGGGTCGGGAGACTGAGCCCTTGGTTGGGCTCCACGCTCATCGGGGAGTCTGCTTGAGATGTTCTCTCTGCTTCTCCATCTGCCACTCCCCTCACTTTCTCTCTCTCTCTCTCTCTCTCTCAAAATAAATAAATAAATCTTTTTAAAAAATCATAAGGATCCCTCCCTTTTGGGGTGAGGCATGGGAGAGGAAAACCGAGTTAACAAGCCTGCACCCGGCCTTACGCTCCCCCAAGGTTTGGGGCATTTCATAGGTGCTCAATAAATAGTGATGGATGAAGAACCACATCTTCTCCATGGGCTAGCAAATATAAGAATTTACATCATATTCAGGCTTTTTCCAGTCCTGTGGAAAGTGATGTCTGAGCCCTCATTCTGGTAAAAGAGAATCTAGGGTAGAAGAAGCAGAGAATGCATTTTCCTCAGGAAAAAAATGGATTAGCCAGCACTTACTATGAAAACGAAAACAGACCCAATACGTGGGAGTGGTATGGAATGGATTCATTATTTCACTCAAGTTTTATAGCAGGACCCCAGCTCAGCAGTGTGAAACTATATGTTGAATCTAACGGGAAAAATTTAACAAGTCCCTACTGAAACAAAGTCCTATGTTAGAGCTAAAACCCAAAAGCCAAACAAAACTGGTAGAGATTTGCCAGGTCACGAATGCGCGGGACCTCATGCCCCACGTTTCCTCTCCAGCTGATTTGCTCATTTTTAGTCTCCTGTTTCTTTGAGCTCCATAACCAATTTGGTGTCTTTCATCTGGAACCTGGAAATCACTGGCCTTGAAACATCAGACCAAATTGTTAAGCTGAATTGAACTGAATTTTTTTAAAAAAGCATTTTTCTGAGGGGACTTCTATGCCCCTTTTACACTAAAGTGTGTATACGGTGCAGGTCTCTATGTTACCCTATGAATGTAAAGAGAAGTTACCTAACAGGCCAAGTGGTTTCAGGCCATGGAAGGCAGGAAAAAATTGTTTATGGGGGAAAGAAGAAGCCCTCTCTGGGAGAGAAGAGACTAAAGGTTTAAAAAGGTCAAATGGGGGGGAAAAAGAAGATATAAGGCATAATCTTGGGGGATTTCACAGGTTTCCAGATCCACAGAATGGTTATTACAGCCTGCATCACATTTTATCAGGAAAGGAAGTGGATAAGGGATAGCAGGAGGAAGTAAAAAAGAGTTTGTTCAGTGAGGATAATTTGAAGGTTCTTATGACGTCTTCAGAAGTGTGAAATCTGGCGAATAATGAAAATCAGAACTTTTACCAAAAGAAAGGGAACATCCTGGATTTACATTATCAGTTGACAGAGGAAGAACTACATGTGTAAACATGTGTGCACACATGTGTGTGTGTTTACTGGGCTCTCACCTGAAGTTACTAGTTGCACATATTAATCAAAGAGCACTACCCTTTCCATCCACTTTTCTATTACCTGTCCTACTTTGTGTCAATTTCCTTTCTCCTCCCCCACACCCCATGCTTCACTGTTCTTCTTTAAGACATGGGATGGGGATTTGTCAAAGTCAATGAGCACTTTATTACAGTGAGAACGTTCCGTAATGAACAATTCAGCAATTTAATGAGATTCTGTAGATCTGTCTCCAGCCTGTCCATCAAGATTCACTTCTATAAAGCACCCTGACACTAATCCTCTGGCATACCCAATCTTCACCCTGGGCTGAATATTAGATTCTTCCATGGTATATTGCATTACTAGTAGAACCTCAGCAAAAATGATGAACTTAACTATACTTGAGGCAATATAGCTAGTCTGATTTAATATTTCTCTATTGGATTGAGTATGAGGGAATTACTTATTTACTAAGATAAAGCAAAAACAGTTTCTTATTGCCTGCTGAATGCCTAAATTGATCATATTTATGTGAGTCTTTTAATTCTTTCTTGAGGACCAGGTATAAAAAGATATTGCCCGCAGCAGAAAGCACTTTTAAAAATTCTATGTGATAATATTAGTAGCCTTTAGAGAGGCAATTATGATAACTCTTAAGTGGACAGTATAGAATTTTTTTGGATATTCAGACATCTGCACATTACCACTCTGGCAGGCCCTTCAACCATGCCACAAAAAGAGATAGAAGCCACGAGGATGACTGGCTCAGATCTCAATTCAGTTAGAAATAATTAAATGCAAAATCCATTCCAAGTCTTCCTTTTTCCCTTTGGGAAGTGAAGAAAAATTTGGCAACCTCCCACTATGAATTGACCAGAAAATATTGATGATTTATGTTTACACGGGAGAACCACAGACAATTAAAATTCATACCAAAAACTCATCCTCACCAACTTTTGACCTCTGCGTGAACAAACATTATCAGAAATACCTAAGAAGCAGGAAAAAAACAAAACAAAAACAAAACAACCCTGGCTTATTCTTTTTCCTCATGTTTTCTTTGTCAAGACAGTGTGGGATCCTAGAGAGATGAGGGCATGTGTCTTGTTTGCAGACTTGGATTTTCAGGTTGGCTCGGCTCTGTAACCCTGAGCGAGGCACTGAAGCCCCATTTTGCTCATCTGGAAGATGGGGCGATTAAAAACTACCCTTCAAGTCCTTTGTGACAATAAGTCAATAAGTTTGCAAAGAGTCTGGGTCCTGGGAGGCCCTCAGTACACCACAGCTCTTATTATCCTCACCGGTGGAGCAACAGTAAAGAAGGAAGTTGCTGATTAATGTAATACAAAGAAAGAGATAAGGGAGACAGACATCAGGTAAATGATCAATCAGTGGGGTCAGGGTCCGGGTAATTAACAGCTACATCTGACTGTTTTGGCCAGAGTGAGAGTACTCTCCGAATGTCATTTGCTAAGATACCAGGAATTTACTGTCTCATCAGTGAACAGAAGACTTCATATTTTTCCTTATATTCTATATGTAAATAGCATGATCATGCATATAAATGAAATGTATATAAATAAAATGTTTTTTAATTTGTCTTTAATGTATTCTGTATGTTAATAAGATGATCGTGCAATCTTGAAGGTATGCTGCCCTGGGAATAACAAGATGGCTAGCCAGTGTTCAGAGTGTGAGGGAGATGATGTAAAACGAAAGGGGTAAGATGGGCTCTGTTTCCCAAAGACACCATGTGGACTGTTCAAGTCAAGTCAGTGGGGATGAGGAGAAAAGGATTTAAATTGAATAATCAACTCGAAAATACAAAACATCCTCCCAACCCCTAGACAAAGGATACTCGGAAAGAACACTACATCAGGCGAAAGGCAGGGCTTAAGGAAATGGCAATGAATGCAGAATGAACCGAGGGAGGTTTTTCCACCGCAGTGCAAGAGCTTCATTTCATTTAGGGTCCCAGCTGCTCTCTGCTGCAACAAAGAAATGTTTCTGAATTGTTTATAGGAAAGCCCAGAACCTATTCTGATTCCATTGGTCTTAAATATGCATATGTAGCACTTGACAATCCAGTTGCCTCATATTTAGTTTAAGAAACTATCAGGAGAGGGAAATTCTTGATTCTTCCTGATGTAACCCCACTCCCCTAGGGTTTTGGGAAGCCCTAGCAAGGGTCTGAGAAACCACACTTGTGATTGCCTGAGCTAAGCTGAGCAGAGGCTGAGGCCTCTGAGCCTCAAAGGCTGGTGTTCTCCAATCACTTGCCCATCAGGGAGCATGACTTCTAACACTGTGACTCTGAGAAGACCTGAACCAGACAAGATAGTTATCGTTGTTCCTCAACTGTTCAACTTTTAACCACGCCACGCCTTCTCCCCGCCAAAAGAAGACCCACGTAGAGTGCCCTTACCTGCCAGATCTGCTCTTCACTCAGGGAGGTAAGGCGGTCGCTCTTCAGAACCTCCTGGAGCAGACAATAAGGGAGCGTTAGAACGTCTTCTGGGCGACTCTTCAGGAGCTCAGAGAGATGTTTCACTAAGAAATCGATCACTGCCTTCTCCAGCAAAGTGAGGTTAAAGAGGTCAGCAAGTCTGTACAGATCCAAGTAATTAAAGCTATTTAATTCCTGGGTGCCAAAAAAATAAAAATAAAAATGGGGGGAGAAAGATCTCTTAGAAATTAATCCAAGAAAGAGCAGGTAAGAAATTCAGACTGACTCACTAAGGTTTGCATGACAAGAGTGGGGGGAAACAGGACTCCACTGATAATGTTTAAAAAAAAAAAATCCCTCATATAAGACTCTAGCAGAGAACTGCTTGTTCTAGAATTCACCATTTCTCTTACTTCGCCCCTCTTAAAACCCATATATTTAAAAGACATCTTAATAAAGGGGTTGAAAGGAGTTTCTGGCTTCATTGACTGAAATGTTACTTTGCAACTTTTTAAGAAACATTTTACCAATGAAGAAAATTGATTTTTTTCTACCCTTACCGTATTTTACAGCTCTCAGGTGATAAGTTTGTTCTACTAAAGAAAACGTGAGTGAAGGTAAAGCAGGAGTTGTGATTAGATGACGTAAACTATATGAAGACAGACTGATTCTACTTTTTCCAAAACTTCAAATGAAGTATGTCTTCAAGTAAAAACAACCATCCTGACTTAATGAAATTAAAACACAGATTTTTACACTTAAGGTCTCAGGAAATGAAGGAATCTCATTGAAAAGATTCCTGTCCTGAATAATTCCACATTGAACCTACCTAAGATGAACAATTTATGATTGTTCTTTATTTTTTGCTAGCCTCAAACATGCAGACAACTAATGACCATCTCTCCTTCTTATTCAAAGAGTTCCTGTAGCAATGCTCATTTTGGGGGGATTTTTCCTGTCTCTATCAGTTCTCAAGTTCATAGCCATGGCTCTAAAATAATCCCCCCAGAGAGCCATGACTCCTGTGGAAACTTTCTTTAACTCTGCAAGAATCACAGTGGGCACACAGACTTATTGATAGAAAAGTTACCTATTTCAAGAAGAATGAATGTCCTGTTTCCCCCCTATTTTAACTGGAAATTTTTAATACATGAGCAGTATTTTCCACTAGCTTAAGGAACTCAGAATACCATCAGATAGCTATTTCACTCCATTGATCTATTTAAGTACTTTTCAATATATTTTCCCCTTTTCTAATTTTCCAAGATTAAGAACTTTTTCTAAAATATTTATATTCTATTTGAACGTATTTGTTTCTAGAACATTTGAAAGTTTAAAGGGATATGCTCTAAATCTGTGCTGTAGAGCATAGTAGCCACTAGCCATGGGTGGCTACTGAGCACTTAAAATATGACTAGTCTGCTGTTGAAAGGTGCTATAAAATGTGAAAAATACACCAAATGCCAGGAAGAAGAAAAACAGAATGTAAAACATCTCATTAATAATTTTATATTGATTATATGTTAAAATGATATTTTTTCTGGATATAGTGGGTTAAGTATATTATTATAATTAATTTCACCTGTTTCTTTTTACTTTTTTTTAATGCAGCTACTAGAAAATTTAGAATGACAAATGTGGCTCCCATTATGTTTCTATAGGATAGTGCTGTTCCACAGAATAAAATGTTAATAAAGAAATAGTAAAAACAGCTCTTGGAGTAACAGCGGCATCCTCATCACAGCTACCTGATTTTTTTTTTTTTACCTTTCATTCTATTTCTTTGGATGGGAAATGACACTTTAATTATATTCTAACAGGAGTCAAGCTAGATGATTTCAGGGATGAACATAAGATTCTGGCTCCTAATAGCTCTATTTGCCAACACAATTGAAAAAGAATAAATGCTTATCTTTAAAATGAAGTTTACTACAGATGACCACTAAAATTCACTGCAACTCAAATATCTAAGAGTCCACTCACAGCCATTCAATCAAAATACCTGGCATCCCATTCAGCAGATTTTATCAAAGGAATACTGAAGAGTTTAACTCCAGTACCAATTATTTCAAATAATGTTTAAAGTTGTTCTCCAAATCTTACTTTTTCAGGTTGGTAAATCTTATTCTGAGAGGAAAGAATGTGGAACCCTTGCTTCCGTAAAGGACTTTGGGACCAACTCCTAAGGATGAATGTTCTTTCTGGTCAGTACATCTATGAAGCAAGTTTAACTGCTCAGGGTCCTGAATACATATAACTTCGGTGTCCCAGTAAATCCCTCTGTAGTCCCCTAGAAACATGATAGGTAAAGTGAGGGTGGTGTCAGAGCTTTTCAAGTACCCCAAGCAAATGTCCAAGGTATGGCTCAAGGCCCTGAGGCAGCGCCCAGCAGCACCCCACGGAGAGGCTAGCATGTGCAGAAGCAGAAACAGCTAAGTTCAGCAAAGTCCTGAGGCGGAGCCCAGAAAAAAAAAATTTTCCCACCTGTTTTCCTGTCAAAAAGTATATGCAACTGCAAGTTTGGGAATGGGTTATGTAGCAGCAATCAAATATTCTTTATTAAGCATCTTTATTTCCTTGTAGAGAGATACTGGGTTTCTTCCGATTAGATGCCTGCAGCTTAAAAGCTGGCCAATTCAAAACTACAGAGAACTTGAGAATTAATTTGCCTTAATTGTGCTGCTTTTCTGCTGCATTTCTTTTGAAGGTAGTCATTGAATTCCTGCTTTCCCAGTCCTGAAATGTTTTCATTTCCTAAGGGTCTAATTTTATATAACCCTTAAATCCAAACTAACAAAGTATTTTGTATTAGTAGAGAACAAAGAAGCTAAATGGACAAGTGTCAATGTCTATCTGAACAGCAAAAAGGAACTGAATTGACACAAATTCTTGTAGAAAAGAAACATCAGTTAAAAATCTACTCCCCCCCAAAAAAATAAAAATAAAAATCTACTCCCTATCTCTATCTTTTCATGGCTCTTCTCTTCTTTTTAAAAACATAATTTCCTGGGACACTAAGGTTGCTCAGTCAGTTGGGTGTCTGACTCTTGGTTTGGGCTCAGATCATGATCTCAGGTTGTGAGACTGAGACCCGAAACAGCTGTGGAGCCTCTCTTAAGATTCTCTCTTTCTCCCTGACCCTCTCCCCCTCCCCCCTCTAAAATAAATAAATAAAATCTTTTTTTAAAAAAACATAGTTTCCTTAAATCTCCAGTGCTTTCATATACACATCAAAGCTTTCCACTCCCTTTGCCATGCATACTCAGCACTTCAGTAGTTAAACTGTATGAAATGGGGAGATCAGGGAAAAAAGAAAAACCATCTTCAGTGAGGTCATGATGCTACAACATTGCATTCCTCTTATTGGCATCTTGTGAGCTCTAAGCAAAATCATCACTTCTTGTCCTTTTGGCTAAGACTATGTTTTAGCAAAATAATACCAATAATGCTGCTTTTAAACATTCTCATAAATGTGATGTGGGGAGGTGGAAAACAATGATGAAATTACATTAAATGCCCACCTACAATACTGTGTATGAAAAAAATAATCACTGTTATAAAAACAGTGCCATTATGTTTCCAGTTATAAAAAGTAATAAATGTTTATTCCATAAAATTCAAGAAAAGTATGGAAAACAAAAGCCATTCATATTTTTAAAAATTCATATTTCACCATGCAGAAATAGTCACTATTAATGTTTTCATCTATATATTCTAGATTTTTTTCAAACAGTTTTTTTAATATCAGATAAGGAAAGAGTAATTGTATTCAAGGGCAGAAAAAACCATCAACAGCCACAGGCACTTGGAAGCAACCCACATTTGTGAAGAGCAAAGGCCATATACACAATCAAGTCAACCTGGTTCAAATCCAGCCCTAACACCTATCATTATGACCTTGGTCAATCATTGAACCTCCCATTGTTCCTCAATTATAAAATGGAGAGTTCAACAAGCTCAAAGGGTTGTCAGAGGGATAATGAATGAAAAGCTCTTACCACACACAACTTGACACATGAAAAGCAGACAGTAGATTTGGTGGGCAAAGAATAATAAAGTATATTTGAGCATTGTTGTTTGGTATCCATAAGCCCTGATTCAACAATATTTTTCTAGATATGTCTTCTTAGACAAAGGAAACAAAAGCAAAAATAAACTGTTGGGACTACATCGAAATAAAAAGATTTCACGTAGTAAAGGAAATCATGTCAAAATGAAAAGGCAGCTCACGGAATAGAAGAAGATATGTGCAAATGATATGTATGATAAGGAGTTAGTATATAAAATATATAAAGAATATATACAACTGAAAACCAAAGAAAAAAAAAACAAAACAAACAAAAAACAAAACCCTAACAATCTGATTAAAAAATGGGTAGAAGATCTGAATAGACATTTTTCCAAAAAACATACAGATGGTCAACAGTCATAAGAAAAGACGCTCAACATCACTAATCATCTGAAAAATGCAAGTCAAAACCACAAGACAACACCTCACATCAGTCAGAATGGCTAGTATCAAAAAGATAACAAATACCAAGTATTGGCAAGGATGTGGAGAAAAGGAACACTTGTGTACAGCTGGTGGGAATGCAAACTGGTGCAACCACTGGGGAAAACAGTATGGAGATTGTTTAAAAAATTAAAAGTAGAAATACCATATGATCCAGTAATTCCACTACTGGATATTTATTTACTACCCCCCCCCCCAAAAAAAAGCCAGAAAATACTAATTTGAAAATATAGGGGATCCCTGGGTGGCACAGCGGTTTGGCACCTGCCTTTGGCCCAGGGTGCGATCCTGGAGACCCGGGATTGAATCAATCCCACGTCGGGCTCCCGATGCATGGAGCCTGCTTCTCCCTCTGCCTATGTCTCTGCCTCTCTCTCTCTCTCATAAATAAATAAAAATTTTAAAAAAAGAAAGAAAATATATATTTATCTCTATGTTTATTGAAGCATCATTTGTAATACCTAAAATATGGAAATAATCATGAATGGACAAAGATGTGTTACACACACAGACATGCACACACACAAACTGAAATATTACTTCGCCATAAAAAAAAATGAGATCTTGCCATCTACGACAACATGGATGTCCTAGAGAGTATTATGCTAAGTGAAACAAGTCCAACAAAGACAAATACCATATGATTTCATTTCTATGTGGAACCTAAAACCAAAACAAATGA